TAAAACTGGGCTGTACTCCACTGAGAGGGGCTGGACCTCCCTACTCTGGAAATTTCTGAACTGAAGTGAATTTAACAGTTGCCCACTAAGCTAACCATGTAGTAGCCCTGCCAGAGTAAGGAGGCTACATTGGGGAGTGGAATTGGTTGTTGAGAATATATATCTGAAGGGGTGGAGGCCCATTTGAGACCCAGTGACTTCTACAACTGGTGGTTAATAATTTTCTTCTTCATATAGGGGGAGACAGTTGATACTTACCTCACTGCTAGAGGAAACTTTTTTTTTTCACTTACACCACACACAGATATGTAGCCCTATAATCATTTTATAGTAACTCATTCTATGCACTTGTATTTCCCTATAGATTATTTCTCTTGTATACCCAGCTCTAGAATTCTATCAGGTAGTTTATTGCATACTAAAAACTTATTCCTAAGGAAGCGCTGGTGTTCATGTCATCTGGTCTGAGTTTAGACCTCTGTGGCTTGTGCCCACTGTTGTGTGACACTGCTATGGCTTTGTGCCTATGGGCTCTGAGTCTTGCAGCAATGAAGACAGTGGAAACAGAACAGCTGAAGGGGGTTATTAGTGGGGCAGAGGACAGGCAGAGAAGGTGTTTCTGGGAAACATGAAGCTGTCTCCTCCCTCTGCACATGGAACCTGGACTTAAGATGAGTCCTCAGGTCCCATGGACCTTCATTCTTTTAATAAAGTATTCCTGTCCCTCTGCTGACTCAGTCCTTTAACTCACGTGGTTCAAAATCATGTGTTTCTATATCAGAAAGCCCCAGTCAGTGGATTAGGATTCTTAAAGCTTACCTAATAAACTAAGCCAATTGTCACTGCTGCCAGTCACAACTCTCCAACCTGTGATGGTTTGCCAAGAGTCCTGATAGGGTGAGGAAGACAGCTGGTATTTATCTCCTTCCTTATTCAGAGACTTGGAATTATCAAAATGCTTCACTCAGCTCCCAAGTTTAGAGACTTTACCATCATTCTTCAACCTCTTTTCCTGTCCCTTTCCCCCCAAAAATTATTTCACTGACATTTCAGAGAAATGAAAGATAGCTCCAGTTCACAGAAAGTTTTGGGACCGCTGTTGTACATAGGATTTGCCACCAGGCCTATTGTAGCCCCGACCCAGGGAACTAGCTGGCCAGTTGGAACAAACAGATGAGTGTGTTTAGTCATAACTATTCCAGAGCCCTACATAGTGCCTTGCACAAAGTAAGTGATCAATAAATATTTGTTGGTTGATTGTTCTCTTAATAGCCTTTGAGCAGGAGGGAAAAAAATCTTAAAGGACAGGACACCAGCTTTCCTTAGCTGTCTGATCATGTAATAGAAGCATTCATTCTCTTAGATAATGCATAGTCCATTTGTCATTGCTTCATTTTCAGCTACAGTTTAGAATTATGACCTGGAAATTGATTTGGGTTTTTTTTTTAAATATTCTCTCTTTGGTGTAAGTGTGATTTATTTGGCTTTTGTAAGACACAGCTGGCCCTTAATATTTGTTCATCTGATTGATTTTAACATTGCATTCTTTGTAACTGGCCTTAGTGAATGTATTCAGAGCTAAATATACTAACCAAATAAAGGCACATTGAAACAACATATTTTTAAATAGTCATCCCACAGTTCTATCATATCCTTAATGGCCAGTATAAACCATTTACCAGTTTTAAAATGTAACTGACAGTATAAGGACATAATATTCATTTTTCTTCTAAGTCCTCATTTAAATAACCAAAGTCCTCAGACTACAGGGTTGGATTAGATGATCTCTAAGCTTGAGCTCTAAATCCTATAAGGGTAATATAATCCTAATAGCTGTATAGAAATGTACTCCTAAGCAAGTCTGCCTCCATTTTTAGTTTTCAGGGTTTGAGGCAAGTCCTAATGAGAGTTTTATATTACCCCAGATTGATTATGTCAGGTGAAAGATATTGCGAAGTATTGGTGATGGTAGCTTGCTGTCCTGGATACTTTACATATAATTGGAAATAGAGATTTTTCAATCCAAATGAACCACTGCATGTTAATAAACAAATTATAGAACAACTGCATGTAAAAATAAATTAACTATATTACTAAATCAGTGAGAAATAGCATGAAGTACTAACTGAAGTATATGTCTGCTTAATTTAATCTGTTGATTTTAGTTTTCTGAGAGGTTTTCACAGGTTTATCCATAGTTCTGTCAAAACTATGCTCCAGGGCAGCTAGGTGGCGCAGTGGATAGAGCACCTGCTCTGAAGTCAGGAGGACCTGAGTTCAAATCTGCCCTTAGACCAAACACTTGACCCTGGGCAAGTCACTTAACCCCAACTGCCTCAAATAGTAAGGTGCACTCTTTTATCTTCATTAGCACATTTTAAACTCAGATATAGTTCTTCCCAAAGATTGTTCTTTGACAGTGAATCTATTGCTGTCATAATAGAGGAACATCCCAACAGTCCCTCCTAAAGAACTGCATCTATGCCCAACTACTTTAACAACAAAAACAGTAAATCTAAACAAATTGAGTCTTTCCATACTTTTTCACATACCACTATATATAATGTTTCTAAATCACCTTATGATCCTAATGAATCTGTGAATTCTCATAGTCATCATTTACACAACCCCTTCTTGACCCCAATTAAAACTTTTTTGTTGAATCTGCCCTCCAAGTTGTCTCTTACTGCTTCTGCCACCCTTAGTTAAGGGGCAGAGGAACTAGCTAGATGTTTTCTTCCAAGTGATTCTGTATTGGCAGTTAGTAATCATTGGGGGACCTAGTCTCCATAGCAGCTGGAAGCTGTAAGCAGGTAAGTTGTGTTCTGCAAGGATGAATTGTCAAGGTTTTGTTGAGAAAGCATCCTCTGAGTTGAGGAGATTACAGTTCACTGATTAAGGTAGAACCAGTTTTTTCCCATAACATTAAAGTCCAATCTGGTTGGAACACAGAAGGTACCCAATGTCAGCCCTCAGGTATTACACTTCAAAACATAATAATTTTAAAAATGGCATCTATTCTTTCTCCTGAAGATATGGGATGAAGTGCACACATGAGTTGTGTGTGTCTATAGTCTCCATGTTTGACTTTGTTCCCTATCACAATTCCCACTTTCTTTAAAAGACCTTGGAAAACCTGAGGAGGTGCTCCTAGATCGAAAAGTTTGAATGACTGGGGGAAAGAAAAACCCAGCACTGGTTTCTTCAATTAAACATGTTCTACGGAAGTTGGATCTACATAGCAGAGATCTTAGAATACAAAGGTTAGGTGCCATTCATCCATTTAAAGGTTCTGAACTATAGAAATCTTAGTCAAAAGTTCTGAAATGACAAAAATGAACTAATCAGAGGATGTATTGCCACACTTGGTTTTCTCTGGTAGGGGAAGGAATGTTGATTGACCAGGTGCCTATCACTGGATTGCTTAAGTACCTGATGCTCCGTCCAGTGTCCCCCTACATAAAGATGGACTCCACAAAATTACAGGATTCAGAATTGGGGGCGACCACCAAATCCAACCCTTCACATATCAGTGAAGAAGGAAGGGTCACTGGCTGCAGGACGACAACAGTTCAGCCCTAGGCTCGGAGGAGAGTAACGTTTATCACAAGCACTTAGTGAGCACCCGTGCTGTGCCCTGCCCCTCTGCTACTCCCCTTCTTTAAGTGAGCAGGAACGATGGGGAGATGGGAGCCAGACGGTCCAAAAGAGAGGCGCCCTGAGCTTGCAACAGGAAAAGGAGGGGAAAAAAAAACCAGTCCTTCTTCTCATCTCCTAATAATCATGCTTTGATTTGTTTAACACTTCACAGTTTTCAGACCACTTTCACATACATTATCTCATTGACCCCTCACCACTGCCCTGTGAGGTAGGCGGCGGGCAGGACTCGGTGTGCCCATAGCATGGATGCGGAAACTGAGGCTCAGAGAGGTGAAAAGGTCTGGTCAAGGTGACAAGTTCACGGCAGTCAGGATTAGAGCCATGCACATGGCCAATCTGCCACTTTCTGTGGCGCCCTGTTATATGCACCCCACCCCCCTTTTCCCCCTTTCTCTGTCTGAAACACTCGGCGAGGGCCGGACCTTCGCTGGGGGCGGCAGCCCCTCTCTCCTCAATCATTCAACCCGGGATCCTAGGATTTAGACACCTCAGCGATCATTTAATCCAACCTCCACATTTTACAGACGAGGAAACGGAGGCCAGAGAAGCGGAGCGACTTGCCCATGGTCACACAGCGAGCGACTTCGTGGCAGAGCCGACGTTCGAATCAGCTGTCCCAAGTCAAGTCGGGGGCGCTTTCTCGGCAGCCGGCTGCCTCACACACACGCCTCGGGCCGGGGTCGGACCCGGTGGCCTCGCTGGTCGCCGGCGCCGAACAGCAGCCCGTCGAACTAACGATTGAATGAAGTCGTTACTGGGCGGGGCTCTCTCTCTCCAGGCCTGCCACTCTCTGGCCAGGACTCACCTAGAGGGCCCCCTACAAGGCCCCGCCCCGGGCCCGCCGCTTTTGAGGGCCGGCCAAGAGAAGAGCCGCGTAGTGGCAGACGACTCTAACGGCCCAGGCGGCGAAACGGCCTCCAAGCACCTGGGAACCGTGAGGTAAGAAGCGCCCACCCTTCTCCTCCGGTGATAGGTCCGTGTGAAGTCGCGCCCGAACTCACTCTTTTCCCATTGGCTGGACTTGCAGGCAGGAGAGCGCCAGGAGGCTTCTGGGAGACGTAGTCGCTTTGACTTTGCTTGAGTCCCTCGTCGCAGCGTCTGCATTTCCGCTTCCTGTGTTGGGGCGGTTGTGTCTGTCGTCTCGGATCCTTAAGTTGAAGCGGCTTGAGGGGCAGGCGAGGAGGCCGCAGCGAACGCGGGCTCCCCGAAGAGCTGGCGATCCTTCGGGAGTGAGCAGACCTCCCTGCGCGGTGTGGGGCTCCGGCAGCAGCGTGGGGAGGGGGCCGGGTCAATGAGGGCTGGACGCTGCCCAGGCCGCTCGGACACTGCCCGGCACCCTCAGGCCTGCGAAGGGAGGGGAGGGGAGGTGGGCTTCTCCGGCAGCAGGCTCCGAGACTAGCCGGCCCCGGGCAGGGAGGGTCCCCAGGGGCAGCACCCCTCCCGACCGTTACTTCCCGGCCCCCGAGAGGTCCCCCGCCTTTTCCCCTCTCTTTTCCTGTAGTTTGAGCTGTGGCCGAGGCACGTCCATTGTCCCCGGAGTGTTTTGCGTGCGCTCCCTGCTTCATCAAAGTTACCTGGCTGGCTCAAAGAGAAGTGTTCCCAAGTGTATACCACGGAACTTCCAGTGAAAGACTGCACATGTTAACCCAATGAACCTTTCTCTGTTAGAATTCTCTAGTTTGAATCACCTAATACAAATTTAAACCTAGAGCCCTTTTTCTGCCACTAATTTATTTTCGGCACCTTAGGCAAATCACTTGACTTCTCTTGACAAACTCCTCATATATAAAAGAAGGGGATTGTACTCTATTTCCAAAAGTCCTTTCCAACACTAAAAATTTTTAGAACCTGGGACCCAAGGAGAACAGCGTATGGAGAAGCTTGGGGCAAATAATCAAGCTGCCAATTAAGTAGGCTCTAGAGAGCCTACCCTTTACTAAAATCCCATGCCCTGCTCAGGTGCTGCTCTCCATGGTGCTGTCTTGTATGTGATCTCAACGTTGTTCTGGGTTCCAATTTGTAGTTCTGGGGACGAACACAACTTGGTATCATAATGAAGGGATAGGTAGGGACTGACCTTTCTCTGTTGAAGAAGCCTGGGAAAGGAAGAAACAAGGAGGTATTTTATGCTGCTCTACAAGGATCTGGGATGGGTTAACATCCATCAGTTAACATCTGTTGATGCTATTGTTATGTTTCTCTGTACCTAGAGCCCTCTGGAAGAGTTCCACTCAGTGGTGCCTAGCCAGAGGCAAGAGTTAGCTTGCCAGGAAAAAAAAAAAAAAAAGGGAAGAGATCCGACCATAAGGAAAAAAACCTCTTCTTCTTGAACTGGACAATGGCTGTAGTTTTGGACCCTCAGGTCCAGGCTCCTCAAACACAAGATGGATTCCTCATAGTTAAACTAGAAGATGATTCTCCCTGGCATCAGGAATCTTTCCTTCATGGAAATGAAGGTCCTGAGGCTTCCTGTCAGCGTTTCTGGCAGTTCCAATACCAGGAGGCAACAGGGCCACGTGAAGCTTTGAACCAACTCCGTGAACTCTGTCATCAGTGGTTGAGACCAGAGAAGTGCACTAAAGAGCAGATTCTAGAGCTGTTGGTGCTGGAGCAGTTCCTGACTGTTCTTCCTAGAGAAATTCAGACTTGGGTTAGAGAACAACATCCTGAGAGTGGAGAGGAGGCAGTGACCATGGTGGAAAATTTGCAAAGAGAACCTGGCAGGTCAGGGCTGAAGGTGAGAATGGGATACCTTTGTTCAATGAAAATAGAGCTATGTGAGGTATAGCCCTCAGCTGGAGACAATGTGGGTAAAACATGGCACCTTACTGTTTCATGCTCATTGGGATGATTTTGATGCTTAGGTGAAAGATTTTCCTTGCAGTGTTCAGAGAATATGTCCAGGGAATATATAGCACTTTCCTGAATCTTTCTTGCTGTCTGCTATGAATGGAAAAATAGCTTGAAAGGTCCCACATCCCTTTGTTGCCAATCAAAATATAAGTTCCTTGAAGCAGGGGTTGTTTCATTTTTTATCATTAGTGCCTAGAAATGTCTTACAAATAATTCAGTGAATCTGTGATCTTGTTGATGTGAGTATTCCCCTCAGTGGTGCAGATCACAACCTAACTCTGCCTTATTCTGTACTACCTTTGATCATGTTTTCCACAAGGGGTCAACCCAGTGGGTAGTGCTGGGGACCTTCTGCTAGATCTCTTGACATTGCAGGCACTTTCTTCTTACTACATGACCACCTCACCTCTTCTTCTAGTAACATTTCTCTGATGACATCTTTTTAACTGCTTCTCTTGAACAATTCTTCACTTCTAATATGTTACAGAATGCTTATGTCTACCTTTTCTCTCCACGTCTTTGTGTGACTTGCAACTTTAATTCTTTGGAGACTGTTATTCCATGACTCATACATAAAACAACACCAGAAGAATATGTGTCTTTAAAAGAAGGGTCTTCTTTTCAGGGAGGACCACGAGTTCATTAAAAGTATTGCCCAACTTTCCAGATGCAATCCAGCCCATTCTTCCTCCTGTTCAATTCTGGGACCAGTTCCCTGTCCATCTTCAGTGTCTTTTAAGATGTATGGCACTGATGGACTGCTTCTATTGTTCATTTGGCTATATGTCATTGTCTGGACAATGGGTATTCTTCATTCATTTCGTTTTTCTTATGTTAGGCCAAACACTTTTGAGTGATTATGGATCTCATTTGGAAGGCTCTGCAGTGTTCCCAGGTTTGACATAATCATCCACAAACAGGAACATATAGAATCCCTCTTTCATTTGGACTCTGTACTGAACATTCTCAATGATGATGGCAACACATTTGGCAAACATACATCTACCTTTTTATGCTTCACTGAATATCAGTAATCAGTGTCTGAATAAATTTACCTTTCCTTTCCCTTCTTATCCTTTGCAATAGATGTTGGGACATAAGCTGCAATTATTATGGTGGTTTTTTTTACAAATACTTGTCATGAATGCTGTAAAAACGAATGACCAAATGCTCCATAAAATAACGTGTCTTGTTTCCTTTGGATGCATGATAAAACTAATTCTGCCAACTTCTTTACTGATATTTCTAAAGAAAGCCTAAACACAATCCTTCCATTTAATTACAACTTCCTTTTGTCGTCTTGTTTCTTTGATATTGAGGATGTCAACATTGGCATGATTGAGTTCCTCGACCAATATGACCATTCACTGTCAATGGACAAAGATCTCACATTTAGAGTATCAATAGCTAAACTGATGTTTAAAATTTAGAAACCATGTGATTCTTAGTACTCTCTCCCTACTCCCTTTTACACCACTCTGCTACCATCATTGCTGAAGGAGAACACCATATAGGAGTAGGGCCCTTTTGTTATGTTTCTTTGTTTCATAGGTAGTCATGGAAAAAAGAATTTATTTCCAAATGGCCAGCCTATTGGCAATAAAGCTTTACACATTTAGCTAATTTGGTCCTGGGAAAGTAGAAGGTCTATTGTAGGGATCATCTGTCAAGCCTTTCTAGTCTGGTAGAAACTGCCAGAGCCACAATCTTTAGGAACTCAGAGTCACTTCCTTGGCACAATGATACATCACAATAGAATTTTATGGAAGGTCTTGTACTTTGTAGACACTTCCTAAATATTAAATGGAATTGAAGGAGAGCTTTGTAAATGGCATAGAGTCCATTTCTTGGGATAACTATGCAAGTAACAGTTCCTGTCACACGTAGCCTGAAGAAAAAAGCAAAGGGCACCTAGGTGCCTTAATAGATAGAGCCCTGAACCTGGACTCAGGAAGACCTCAGTTCAAATCCTGCTTCAGACACTTACTAGCTATGACCCTGGGCAAGTCACTTAACCTCTGGTCTGAATCAGTTTCCCCATCTATAAAATGGGAATAGTAATAGCACCTAAGTACAGTGAAAACACTGAATCCTACTAACATTTCTGTACAATCACTTTACTATTATTGGTATGGCTGTTTAAGGGATACTTAGTAGGGATAGTCAGTGTTTCAAGGCATAGATGTCAGGAAAACTGGGTAGACAAGTTGCATGGCACCTGATTGCTGAACCTGATTCTAGCAGAAGTGCTTGTAGCTACTCTTGGATGTCTCTATATTATTCACTGGTAACTTAAAGAATTTCAGTAAGCCTGGTTTTCTCTGTTTATCCTAGGGGATCCTACCTAGAATAGTTTGGATGGTTATATTTTAACTTACAAGATTCTGCCCACTTTTAGCAGGCTTTGCAGTGACAGGAATTGTGGGCTTTTCCTAGGTCCCAGTCGTTATGAAAGGGCAGGAAGTACTCACAGAGATGGTAACAGCTGCAGGATCAGTACCCAATTCACTAAGTATCCATCTGAAGCAAACACAGACAAAATCCAAATGTACATTCCAGGAGAACGCAGAGAGATTACACCTAGAACCAGAGAAAGAGCTGAGCTGTGATCCTAAGATAGAGCCCCATTCCCTTCAGGACAGTGGTAAGTAACTAGAAGAAAAGAGGGAACCCTTTGTGGAGGTTAATGGAGTTGTGAGAACCTGGACAGCTTTGAGAACAGAAAATGTGTGATGGGGACATTATCCTGCCTTTTGGAAAGAATTGTGTACAAACTAGTACCTTTATTTGAATCTTTAGAAATTCAGTTTGTAGACCTCCGGTAGTCTCTATAAGTAGTTAAAGAGGAAGAGCTATTCTTTAATCTTGTGAAGTTGATGTATAGATGCTGGATTGGGAGAGGGAAGTGGGAGTTGGAAGGGGAAAGGGAAGGGTGGCAAAGGTTATATAGTCCCAATAAATGAGGGTGGGCAGGGAACTCAGGCCTGGTTAGTGGCAGAGCCACAGGATAACCTTGCAATAATTCTCAGTCATGTGTTATAGAACTATTCAAGTGACAGGTGCATCACAGAACTAGGGGAAAAATGGTTGGAAATGGCAAAATCTGTATTACATCCCTTAGATATTTCTCACTTCACTTTTTCACCAAATCCCTTTAACCGAAAGAGGCAATAACAGAAATAGCTTATGTCCTCCTTTTTAAAGTCATCTAGAAGTATTGCTACATAAAAAAGGTTGGAAACAGTTATAATCTAGTGATTCTTTTTTTTCTTTAGCTCTGCCTACTCCTCAGGTGCTTGATCTTCCTGCAGAAGCAAGTAGTAGTAACCAAGAGATGATGGGCAGGTCCCAGGTAAGTTGCTATTTTCTCTTTGTCTTATCACTGCTATTTGAATGTGGTCCTATGCCATTCCTTCCACCTAGAACTGTTTACCCCATGAGGAATATTGCTCCAGTTTCCCTCTCTCCACCTTCCCCAGGCCCACCCTACCCAGTGATTATATCTAGTACATAAGACTGGCTTTCCTGGAAAATAGGTTTCAAAATTTCATTAGCCTACAAAATGTGTCCTGAACCTTCTTACATAGACATTAGTATCCTTAATTAAAAACAAAACAAAACAAAACAGAATCAAGGCTAAGGAACATGTTCTTACCTTTTATGAAAATTCTTATTTTCCCACACTGACTGCTTAGGTTTTAGGCTTGTACAAATTTGTATGATTGCTTTAAGTTACTGGATGCTTCTTCATTCCTTGTGTGGTTTTTTTTTCACCCAAGAGGCTTGCTACACTCAGAATTGGAAATAAATTCCTTTGCTTTTGGACAGAGCAATTATATTTTTCTAGAGCCAGTCATTTCAGAGCAGGACAATTTTTTCATTATTCCAGGAGCTGGTGACTTTTGGAGATGTGGCCGTATATTTCTCTCAGGAGGCACAGGGACAGTTGGACCCAACTCCACCACCGGACCTCTTTCAAGATCAAACTCAGGAGAATTATGAAAATGGTGTCTCACAGAGTAAGAACACTCTTCCCTGTTAAACTCTTAAGTTATTGCGCTTCAGTAGGACTCATCTCCTTAGAACTTTGACAGTGTTTTCTTTTAATCACAAATAAGAAAGAGACATCCATTCCCTCCCTTCCCCTTGGCACAGAGGAAATTAAAAAAACCAGTAAGTTCTTGATCAGCACAAACCACTATGTTTTCTGTTTCTTTGTGAACAGGATTTCCAATTCCCAGACCCAATATGATCTCCCAGTTAGAGCAAGAGGAGAAACTGCAGAACCCAGATCTTCAAGGCTCTAAGGAGAATGGAAATTCAAAAGATTCTCAAATAGGTGAACAAGCAAAACTTGTTCAAGCGCCAGTAATGAAAAAAGTCAAACACTGGGAAGATCTGGAGCGTCAGGGCTTGGAAGATGAGAAGGTGGCAGGTGTACACTGGGGCTATGAAGAAACCAAAATTTTTCTAGGGATTCTCAGTGAGTCTTGGATTTATGAAAAACTCCGAACTTGTCACCGGAACCGTCAGGTATACCGGATTGTGGCCGAGCGACTACGTGAGCGAGGCTTCCTCCGGACTCTGGAACAATGTCGATATAGATTTAAAAACCTTCAGACAAACTACCGCAAAGCAAGAAGCACCCACACCCCGGGAACCTGCCCCTTCTACGAGGAAATGGATGCTCTGATGAGCTCCCGTGTGGCTGTCACTGCCCCAGAGGTGGAAAGGGATCTCTTTGGGCAGGGGGAGCATGATGTTGAAACTGAAGAACTTGAGAGGGATAGCTGGGAACATGAAGAAATAGCAATGGCAGGGGTGGTATTAGAGGGTGGATCCAGGGAACTGGACCTGGTCTATCCAGCAGCGTCTTTGGAAGAATTGCAATCAGGGGCTATAACAGAAGATTCTGATGGTGATGAATTGGGTAATGATGAAACATCTGAAAGTCCTGGTACCCCAACCCTGTTTTGGAGTGCCACGGGTAAGAAGAATGTGTCAAGAGCAAAGTTGGGAGTTCCTGGGTTTTCATAGAATTTGGTGATATATTGTTGTCCTAACCTCATATTTCAGAGGAGTCATAGAATCGGGGCATTATTAATAGTAGGTAGTAGGAAGGCATGTGGGCCAGAGTTATGTACACGTACAAAAGTCCTCATTCCTAGAACTAGTCAGAATAGTCATTACATCGGAATAATTTATGTAAGTAAAAACAAATTCACATCTTAGATGGACTACCAAAAGTCTAATCTTAGGAAACAATTCTAATCTGATTATTTTTTTTAGGAAGTCACTACTAAAAAAGATTAGAGGGGAATTGGAGCAGGTGGAAAATTCTGAAAACTACTTCTACTGACCGTACAGTACACAGCCCTTTTTTGACAGGTCTAAACTTTTCTCTAGGAGTGCACTGGGGATATGAAGAAACCAAGGTTTTTCTGGGGATTCTTGGTGAGCCTCGTATTTATGAAAAACTCCGGACCTGTCACCGGAACCGTCAAGTGTACAGGATTGTGGCTGAGCGGCTTCGTGAATGTGGCTTCCTCCGAACTCTGGAGCAATGTCGTTATAGATTTAAAAACCTTCAGACACACTACCGAAAAGCAAGAAGTGGCCACACCCCAGGGACCTGCCCTTTTTATGAGGAGATGGATGCCCTGATGAGTCCATGGACCACCATTACTCCCTTTGATGTCCTAGAGGTGGCAGGGGGTCTTCTAAAGGGGAAAGCAGAATCCAAGGAGAGCATTGACTGGGAGAACCATGAGACAGTAACAGAAGATGGCAACCATGTGGAAGTGGAGGCATCACCAAAGGCACTCAAGAGCTTTAAGTCACAAGATCTATTTCAGAATCCCAGTGGTAAACAACTCTTTCTATGGGACCCTATATCCATTGCCTAATGGTGGTCTTAATGCAGAAAGGCATGATGTAGGCATTAGGAAACATTGGTTGTAGTCCTGACCTTGCTATTGATCTCTGTCAAGAACACTATCTGCTTATTGGGTGGGAAACTAGTCACTTTTTTAGTACAGTTGTCCTGATTATAAGCTGTTGACCTCTCATCATCAAAATGTTCCATAAGCAAATCTTTCTATTGGCTCAGGAGCTATCCTGGGTGAATCACTAAAATTCCTAGGTGCTAGGGCTGTGAGAAGTCTGATACTGGGGACAAACAAGACTTGCTTTTCTCAACTCGAGCATGTCATCATGCCTCCTATTGATAGAAATGAAAACTAAAGAAGCAATGGGGAATGGGTTAAGAGGGTCACTTTATTAAGTAGAGATAGAAATTTTGCAGTTTCTTGCTTCCAAAGTACCTGACAAGCACTGGTATAGGTACTGTATTGCACAAATATATCATTTTCCTCCATTTCCTAAATCCTAAATTCTGCCCATATGCCCATTTGTCTTCAGAATGCAAATGTTTTACTACATCTTTAATCATAGAGTCTATGAACTTTCTATCTATACACCAAACTTTCCTAAGTTTTCCTAGATATTTTTCTTATGCTTTTTCATACTTTCTATGGAAAGGAAACCTCAGAATAAATTCTAGAGAAGTTTCATGGGACTTGTTTGCTTTTTCTTGAGCAGAACTTCCCATTTCCAAGCCAGATTCAAACTCCAAGCCAGAGAGGGGGGAAGAGCTGTGGAATGTCAATCTCCTTGATTCCAAGGAAATTCAGAGAAGTCGCCATACAGGTAAGAACAAAGAAACAACCAAATCTGTGGTTGTGAACACAAGAGAGTTAGGACATGTTGGGAGCAAGAGAATTCACAAAGGAGATTTATTTTATAGATAGGCAACAACTGCACTTGCTTTAGCCCACCAGTGCCAAAGTGGCACAGAGAAGAATATTATAGGAGAAAGGAGTACCCAAGAAGACCTACTCCACCATTCTTGAGGCTTGTACCTAGGACAATGGCCATGTATAGAACTGGGCTATATTTGTAATCTTCTTCTTGTCATTGAGCACTTACTGAGCATTCAGTGGACTCATGCCAGTGTTTTAAATGCTACATGCTTCATCCACAGACTGTTTTTATTCCCCTCCATTTGGGAGATCAGTAATATCTATTTTCTACTCATTTTTTCAGATTTGGAAATGAGCAATGAGAAGGAGGAGAATCTGAGCCAGGAAATTTCTCAGGAAATAGAACTACATGCAACATTACTGGGAAGCTCCAAAAGAAATGTTTCCCATTGTCTTAATTGGAGGAAAGCCTGGGAAAGTGAATACAGAACTGAAAGGCAATGGAAAATGCTCCCAGAGGAGGCACAAGGGCCACCGTCTCCTCAGGAAAGAAATTTGGGCAATTTTATAGGTCTTCAGGGAACCTACATAGGAGAAAACCCAAACACATGTTCTGAATGTGGGAAAAACTTCAGTCAGAGCTCACACCTTGCTGTACATCGATTAGCTCACATTGGGGAAAAGAAATTATATAATTGTGATGAGTGTGGCAAGACCTTTGGTCGAAGTTCACATCTTATTTGCCACCAGAGAATCCACACAGGAGAGAAGCCTTACAAATGTCCTGAATGTGGAAAAGGCTTCAGTGATCACTCTAACCTCACAGCACATCAAAGAATCCATACAGGAGAAAAACCCTATAAATGTGGTGAGTGCTGGAAAAGCTTCAATCAAAGCTCAAGCCTTATTATGCATCAGAGAATTCACACAGGAGAAAAACCCCACAAGTGCAGTGAATGTGGAAAAAGCTTCACTAACAGCTCACATTTCAATGCTCACTGGAGGACTCACACAGGTGAAAAACCCTACCAGTGTCCTGAATGTGGGAAAAGATTTAGTAAGAGTTCTACCCTCACCAGCCATCAGAGAATACATACAGGAGAAAAACCCTATGAATGTCTTGAATGTGGGAAAAGTTTCAGTGATCGTTCAAATCTCATTACACATCGACGAATTCATACAGGAGAGAGACCCTATAAGTGTGGTGAGTGCGGGAAAAGTTTCAATCAGAGTTCAAGCCTTATTATACACCAGAGAATACACACAGGAGAGAAACCCTATGAATGTAGTGAATGTGGCAGAAGATTTAATAACAGCTCACACTTTAGTGCACACCGGAGAACTCATGTGGGAGAGAAACGCTGACTGGCATCAAATGTTGGGGAAGTATCAGTAAAGCTTCAAGTTTCACATACCAGGTAATCAACCCCAAAAGAAAAGTTTCTGTTGTATTTAATTCTGTACCACATCTGAAAAAGACTATAGTAGTTAAGGTTCACTGCCCACAGAAATAATGTTTCTGTTTTATTAAAATGTGCACTTGTCTTGGAAAATATGCTTCAGGATTCTCTTTTAAATGCTGTTGAAGCTGAAGCCATGTTTCCAAAGCCATTAGAGACCAGAGTTCTTTTCTGGCTCAGTCACCATCTCACTGTACGGCTCCTGTATCACTGTGCCATAGCTTCCACACCTTGGAAATAGGAAGAGGGCAGTTCTGTCCTTGAATGCCCTCCCTGCCTGGAGAGAGGAGTGGCATTATCACCATCAGCGTAGTGACAATAACAGTCATATAACCTAGCTGCAGAGCAGGACTGTGGACCCACACTGAGTGTGCAGTTATCACTGCCCAGCATCACTTGAAGGACATGAAAGAGAGACCACATCTAGAGTCTCTTTCAGGGCCAGAGGTTGGTGTTCTCTAAACTACTACAAACACCACCTGCCAGCTTGGTTTTTCTTTATTTAATGAGGGATGGCTATGAGTAATGGTACTATATTTAATTCAAGTCAGTAGCCATCATATTTAGTGCCTACTACATACAAAGCACTGCATTATGCACTATAGGTAGGAGGTGGAAGAAATACAAAAATAATTGTTCCAAATTACAGCTATGCTTCCATAGTGTTGAAGAATTATATTCTTTGGTCCGAAACCTAGTGTTGTGCCTCAAATAAGGTAGCTGGGTTATATAGAAGAGACAAAGTGGATGGTTTCTTGAGATGTGGTAAAGAGTTTCCTGGAATGTGTCCTGAGCAATAACTAAAAAGTACAGTGTCTTTAAGAAGACGTAGTTTTTTAGGCCTCTGAGTCCCCTGAACTATAGATAGGCTGAATACTCCTTTTCCTCCCATCAAATCCCATGATCACTACCTGTGCCTCATTGCTAGTCTCACCAAACATCAAGATGAAGGGAGTCAGGATGGGCTCAGCATGCGAGATCAGATGTCGCTTCCAGAAAGATGAAAAATTCTGAAGGTGAAGCTGCTTCCATACCCTGCCTCTGGGAATCTGAAAAATTTTAGGAAACTTCAGAACCACAACAATTTCCCTTTCTCTTAATAAAACAGAATTCTATTTTCTTCTTGGTTCATTTCTCTATTCCAATGCTGCTGCAGTTAGCCATAAAAGATCAATCATCTCCATCAAATTTTTGTCCGCACCTCTCAGTATAGCGGGACAGCTAGGTGGTGCAGTGGATAAAGCACTGGGCCTGGGTTCAGAGGTGGCCTCAGACACTTACTGGTTGTGTGACCCTGGACAAATCATTTAACCTCATCTATAAAATGAGCTGGAGAAGGAAATGGCAAACCACTCCAGTATCTTTGCCAAGAAAATCCCAAATAGGATCATGAAGAGTCAGACACAACTGAACAATAACAAAAATGAAATCGGCATATCCCCTGCCATTCTTCTCCCAGTATATTACTCTTCATTTTACTAATCTAAGAGAATGCAATATCTATTAATATTTGTACTCTCCCCAGTTATCAATTTCTTTTAGGCCTCAGGCATATTTGGACAAGTGCTTGCTCTTTTTTTTTTCCTTGCCTTGAGAAATTTTAAAATGTCTCCTCCATCTGGGATGTGAGAAATTGGGAGCTCTGGGGATCCTGGAAAATGTGCATATATTTTCCAACTTTTCTACTATTGTAGGAGCAATAGTTCTATGTGGCCAGAGAAATTCTATAGAGGCCATTAACATTCTTATCTTCATTGTGACTAAATTAAATGGCCTTCCTTTGTGATGGTGACATGAAAAAACAAACCACATTCTCAAAGGAACTCCATCTGGGGCTGCTGACCAAAGTTAACTCTAGAAAAGACTTGGGGGAAAAAATCATCTGTGAAGAGTTACTTTCCCCAAAGATGTAATATGCTAACCTCCTGACTGAAGATGAAGCAGTGACTAACCTGAAAGGGTTATAGTCTGCAGAAATATTCGTGATAAGTTCCATTTTAGCAAGACAGATATCAGCTGTCCCTATTTGTGGGACACCTAGAGTGCCTGGGGAATTAAGTACTAGTTCTGGTCTGGACAGAATAATTCAGTTAAGTTTTATGCAGTTCTCAAGCTGTACAGTTCTGTGATAGGGATAGCTTGGCCTACACTCCAGATCTTACTCTCAGTTCTGTTTCTGATTCTTTCCTGGTAGGGTATCCATGCAGCCAGGATAAAAAGGCTTAGAGGGGAAACAGTTTTGGTAGGTCACCATCCCTACATACCCACGATCCAAGGAAGGGTCAGAAACTAACTGAAATTCCTCTAGTGTAACAACTGATCCAGTCATTATCATATAGCAATAATAATATGCTTCAGCCCTAACTTCCAAAGTCTGTTCTACTCTGGTGAGGTAAAAATTTCTCATTCTCAGAATTTCCTTGGTGCTTCCTAATAATATCAGAATTTTAGCTCCCTCCAAAATAAGAATAAGCGGCTAAATGAGGTCTCCCCATAAAACACTGGTAACAGAGGGGCTTAAGTTATGGGAATCAACCTACTTGCCAGTTGTTTTTGCCTGAGGTTCTTGAGTGGTTTCATGAAGGCTCTCTGTTGAGAAAAGACATACTTATGTACTAAAACAAAGTCATAATGTTTTCCTACTATTAGAAATACAGTATGTAAATTATATCCTTGAGTTAGGTGTTTCATGTTGAATTACATACATAGTACTGTCCATAACCAAAACAGATAGCCTCTGCTATGAATAATTGAGTATTTGAACATCTTCAAAACCCACTGAGGACTGAGATGTCCTTTAAAAAATTAAACATAGTTGAAAAGAGCTACCATGTTTTATTACAGAGCATCTCTTGGTCAGAAATACTAAGTTGGGTAGACCAATATGACCGATATTTTTATTTTTGTGAGGCAATTGGGATTAAGTGACTTGCCCAGAGTCACACAGCTAGTAAGTGTTATGTGTCTGAGGGCAGATTTGAACTCGTATCTTCCCAACTCCAGGGCTTGTGGAGCAAATACACTGCGCCACCAACCTGCCCCAACAGACATTAAGACAAAACTATTACAAAATGTTTCTGAGCCGACCACCTGACTTTTATTTTCAAAGAACTTTTAAGTATAAAGGGACTTTAAAGGTTATTTAGTATTCCAGTCCAATACTAGAATCTCCTTCTACAAGAATCTTCACATGATCATCTACGTGAGACACGAGTACTTCGCTCACTAAGCCAAAGGTAGAACAGTTTATTGTTAGCTTTTTTTGGGGGGGGGGGGGAACACTTTGACTTCCACTGCTGGTCTTAGCTCTTCTCTATGGAGACAGAATAATTCCATTTTCACATGACAACCAAATATTTGAAGGCTTATCATACCTAGGCAGCTAGGTGGCGCTGTGGATGGAATGCTGGGCCTGAAGTCAGGAAGATCTGAGTTCAAATATCATTTACTAGCTGTGTGACCCTGGGCAAATCACTTAACCCTGTTTGCCCCAGTTTCCTCATCTGTAAAATGAGCTGGGGAAGGAAGTGGCAAATCACTCTAGTATGTTTGCTAAGAAAACCCCAAATGGAATCACAAAGAGTAAGACACAACTGAACAACAAGATCCTACTTCCTTGGACACTAAGGCAAATAACTTGAACTTGATTTGGCACTGGATGTAAAGCTTCCAGAACTGATACCCTTGGCTTTCAGAGCACTCCCATCCACACAATGTTAAAATGACCTATACTCAGAGACCCTGTAGGGAAGCTAGAATAAGGAGTTAGTAAAGTGTGTCTGTTAGCTGAGAGCTACATTGATTAATAGGTCAGAAACTGCCACTATATGTGGTTAATATTTTTGAATTCCCAGTGCTTAGCACAGTCCCTGGAAATAAGAAGCATTTTATAGATGCTTTGTCTAAAGTTACTTATAATCAGATCCATATCAACTCACAAGCCTGACTTGAAGTGTTGCTTATCAGTAGTGATACTAATTTCAATCAAAAAATATTAAGCATGTGTGAGGCATTACACCAAGGGAATGGTACCACTATCATTTGTATTATAGGCGTTATAAAATTGTATACTGTGGTGGGTGAAACAAGAAATAACTGATAAAACAAAGATTCAAGCTTCTGAGCATGTTGATTTATTAAGCAATACATGCCAATTGCTCAACAAATCAGAACCAGGCCTCCTCAGCTTTGTCACTGGTCCCCGAATATAGGGGAAGGTATGTCTTTGAATTAAAAACCAATTTATCAAACAAGACCAATTAATTAAAAGAAAACAACCAGAATACAAAATTAGGTAATCTGATTTCTAATCGGAGGAAAAATTAAGAACTTTCCTAATTGGGAGGGGGAGAGTTAACAGATCCAAATCCCTAAAATCAGAAGAAGAGGTGTCCCACACCCCCCAGTGTATTCAAAGGAACAATGGAAACAATAACTGATTAACTAGTAAGAGGCCAGTTATCAGATAAGACATATGGGTTGCTTGAGATGTATAATTGTGAGAAAACTTCTTGCATCAGTCTTGGGATCTGACTGGGTTTCTGGTCAACCTAAGTCCTTAGGTAAGAGTCTCTAAGCAGCAGGTAGAGGTGGTCCAGCTTCCCAGTCATGCAGGGCTAGATCTAAATAATGCAATAAGGTTTGCTCCCAATTCCCACAATCAAATAAAGTTTTCTCACCAGACAAATTGAAATAAATCCATAATTGACTAGAAAGAGAACTGAATGGTTAGCTACAGATTTGAGTCACAAGATGGAATCAGTATGGTTCACCCAATTCCCACAATTAACCAGTCGCTGTTCTAATCCCCTCAATTCATAGTCCAGGTCTTCAGTGAGTTTACAGCCTAGCTGGGGAACCCAGCTGCCTTTTATGTGTACACTTTATATATCCTCCCGTGTCAAATCAATGGTGTAAATAATTGGTGCTGTAGGAGCCAAGAGCAAGTCAAGCTCAATATTAGCTGGGGTGGCCAGAGAAGGCTTTATTGAGAAAATAGTTTTCAAATTAGTAATGGCACTGTTACTTTAAACCTAAAAGAGGTAAAAGATAGTAACGGGGAAAGAATTTTAAGGAAGTTTAGACAGGCTGCCCACTAACAAGGATGTGTTAAATTCAAGGAACTATGACAGACACTGGAGATATGAACACAAAAAGTAAAACAGGCCTTGCCTTCAAGGGGCTTACATTCTACTGGAGGAAAACACCAGGGACATAGATAAGTTAACATGAAATGGTTTTGGCCTTCTCTGGGAGGTAGCACCAGAATAGAGCCTTGAAGCAAACAGGGGATTCCAAGAGTGAGTATTGGAGCCATTGCTGGTTCAAAGCACAGCCTGTACAAGGTCATGGAAGTGGGAGACAAAAAGCTCCCTGTATGGAAACAGCAAGGAACCCCAGTTTGAATGCAGCCTGGAGCAGGGGGTGCAATGTGAAAGTAAGAAATCTGGCAAGACCGAAAGCGAAGTCCAATGTCAACGTTTTCGTTTCTTCTTTTTATATTAAAGTTATACTTCATTTCAACATTCATTTTTAAAAATTTTATTTCCAAACCTCCCTCCTTTAAGCCCCTTCCTCACCCAATGAGATGCCAGGCAGTATGCCTATTATACACGTGAAAGCATGCAAAACCTATTTCCATATTAGCCATATTGCGAAAAAAGAGAGAAAAAAATAAAGTGAATAGTTTTCTTTCAAAAGGCTAACCAAGGGGCAGCTAGGCGGCGCAGTGGATAGAGCACCGGCCCTGGAGTCTGGAGGGCTTGAGTGAAATCCGGCCTCAGACACCGTAACACTCACTAGCTGTGTGACCCTGGGCAAGTCACTTAACCCCAATTGCCCTCCCCCGCCACACACACACACACACACACACAAGGCTAAGCAGATAAGTGTTTATTCCAGAGGTGGTGGGGAGTTACTGAAACTTCATGAATTTTAGTGGATTTCCTTTAGGGCTGTCATCACTTTGGTCACCGCGAGAGGGGGAAGAGGAAATGAGGAGGAAGACCAAGCAAGGAACGAGGGCGTGAGATGTGCGAGTGGCGAAAAAGGGCCGCGGGACGGGTGCAGTCGTGGAGACAGAAACGAGACCGAGCGACGGTCCTAACCGTCCCAGGGATAGGCCCCGAGTTTGTCGGCAAAGTGCCGCGACTTCCGCTTCCTCGGAAGCTTCGACCGGAGGAGGCGGGACTTCCTCCGCCGCCTCTAAAAGCTTCCGGGGCGGTGGTTTGGCCGGCCAATCCGAAGTTGCTTCCCGTAGTTCTGATTTCCCGCTGCCCCGTGCTTCTCCCCTCCCCCAAAACCCCCCCAACGTCGAGTTTTAGGGCGGTGTTAGAGGAAAGACGACTCGGAAGCGACTCTCGCGTTTTATGGGCCTCCACGGCCGCCGTTCTGTGCGAATCTGAGCAAGGCGGGGCAGCAGGGTACGGGGCACCTGGAGTCAGGTTAGAGCCCCGTCTGGCCTACGTAGTAGCCGCGTGTCCCTGGCAGGCCACTTAACCTTTCTGAGCCGCTGCCCCAGCTTCCTCACGTATAAATCAAACCTAATGAGATCAAGTACTTGCTTCACCAACTGCCCCCAGGACATTTCGACTTCGATGTTGTCCTGCGAGCATCTCAGCTCATGCATCTAAAATAAAACCCCTATTTTCCACCAAACCCACTCCCCTTCCGGACTTCAAGCATATTAAACGGTTATCATGTGTCAGGCGTTGTGATAAGTGATGGAGATACAAAGAAAAGCAAAAACAGCCTGACCTCAAGGAGCTTACATTCTAACGGGGGAAGCCATATATAAATAAAATAGGTATATATACAAGTATATTTACAAAGCCGCTGGAAAGTAGCCTTAGAGGGGAAGTCCCTAGAAGCTGATGGGATAAATGAATGAAAAACATTTAAAAGGTGCTTACTGTGTACAAATCACTGTGATTTGGGAGATACAAATAGAAAAGGAAGACAGCCCTTGCTGTCAAGTAGCTTAAATTCAGCTTCGGGTCTTGAATGGGATGGGGAAAAGCTTCCTGAAGAAGGCAGCATTTCGAGTCTTTAAGGCAGCCAGGGACATCCCTATTAATCTTTATGATTATAGTTAATAGGAAGCCACTGGAGTTTATTGAATAGGAGAGTTATCGTGGTTTATGATTAAGGAAAATGATCACTTTGGAAGCTGTGTGAAGGATAGACTGGAGTGGGGGTGGTGGGAGGCAGAGGCAGTGAGGCCAGTTAGGATCAATAGTTCAGGGAATCTGTGATACAGGCCTGAACAAGAATGATGTTTATATGTTGAGGAAAAGGGTTCTGACAGAAGAGATGTTATGAAAGTGCCAATGACAACATTTAGCAACAAAGTAGATATGTGAGGTGACTAAAGTTAAGAATGACCCCAAGCTTATAAACTTGGGTAATTGGAAAGATCATTATGTCTGACATAAATAAGGAAGGTTAAAAAGGGATAGGTTTGGACAACTAGGTGGCACAGTGGATAAAGTTCTGGCCTTGGGGTCAGGAGGACCTGAGTTCAAATCCAGCCTCTGATACTTGATACTTACTAGCTGTGTGGCCTTTGACAAGTCACTTAACCCAGACTGCCTCACCAAAAAAAAAGGGGGAGGGAATAGGTTTGAGTGGAACAATAATGACCTCTAATATGAACAAATTGAGTTCAAGATATTTAAGATGGGAGCATCCAATTGGAAATGTACAGTAAGCAGCTAGTGACCTAAGTACTGGTCTGAAAGGTCACTCAAGTAGCCCCTTTTTACTTCTAGAATCAAACCTAAACTCCTCTGTTGGCATTTAAAGCTCTTCACAACCTGGTTCCAGCTTACCTCTCTAACCTTACTACTCTCTAACCTTCACACACTTTTTGATACAACCAAAATGGTGGCTTTCTTGACGTTCCTCACACAACTTTCCACACACCCCTTTGCCTTTGCCTAGGTTCTTCATGCCTGGAATACACTCCCTTCTCACCACAATACCCAGTTCAAATGCCACCTTTTGGTTGAGATCCTTGCTGATTTTCCCCACCCCTTAACATCTCTCCCCATTACCTTGTATTTATTTTATATATACTTATTTTCCATAAACTTATATTGTACTTATTTCCTCTCTTAGAAGAGAGGGCAAGCACTGTCCAATTTTTGCCTCTGTACCTCCAGAATCTAGCATGGTTGCCCGGCACATATGGTAGGTGCTCAATACATTCTTGTGGGATAATTGAAGTGCTTTGCAAACCTTAAAATGTTCTTTTCATTTCAGCTATTATTACTTACAGATCTGCCTTTAAAAAAATGTCAGTTTCAAATACCAAACCACTTGTGTGATCCTAGATCTGTTCTCCTGACTCCAGAAAAACCTTCTGTGGCTCCTTACTGCAAGCTGAATTGTTTTAATTCCTGACCCCAGGCAAGTCATTTCATTTCTCTACTCCTCAGTTTCCTCATCTTAAAAAAAAAAAAAAAAATAGAGGGGCCGGATTAGATGCCCTTGAGGTCCCTCCCATCTCTAAATCCTAGGTCTTTGTAGGCACCAGCTCCTCTTCACCCTCCCCCGCGTTCTACCGCAGACTCGGGCAAAGGCCGGCATAGAGAGGGGTCCAGAGGGCGCGAGAGCAGGCGGAAAAGGCGGAGCGGAGCCCGGGCGAGCACGAACCTTGGCTGGGGGCTGCGGGACCCAGCTACAGCCATGGCTCCTCTGCGCTTCGCAGCCAACCTGTCGTGGCTGTTCTCGGAGCAGGGCCCGGCACTGAGCGCTCGCCTCGAGGCCGCAGCCCGGGCTGGTTTCAAGGTGGCCGAGGTGGCCTGGCCGTACGCGGAGCCCGCGGCGCAGCTGGCGGCAGCGGCAAGGGCAGCCGGGCTACGGCTGGTGTTGCTTAACACGCCGCCGGGGGCCACGGACCTCGGCGAGCTGGGGCTGGGCGCCGTACCTGGGAGCCAGGACGCCTTCCGCGAGGGGCTGGAGCTGGCGGTCGCGTACGCGCGGGAGCTCGGCTGCCCCCAGGTGCACCTGATGGCCGGCCGCGTCCCGCAGGGCGCTGAGCGCGCCGCAGTGGCCCGGGACATGGAGGCCGTGTTCGTGGAGAACCTGCGGCACGCCGCCGACCTGCTGGCCCGCGAGAACCTCGTGGGGCTTGTGGAGCCCATCAACAGCCGGCTTACGGACCCGCGCTACTTCCTGGACACGCCGGAACAGGCAGCGGCCATCCTGCGCCGGGTGGACCGGCCCAACCTGCGGCTGCAGCTGGACATGTTCCACTGGCAGATCATGGGTGGGAACCTGACTGCCAACATCCGTGCCTTCCTGCCCCTGATCGGGCACGTGCAGGTGGCCCAAGTGCCTGACCGCGGCGAGCCCGACAGCCCCGGAGAGCTCAATTTCCCCTACTTGTTCCAGCTGTTGGAGGAGCTGGGCTACACAGGCTACGTGGGCTGCGAGTACCGGCCCCGCGGGGACACCACAGAAGGTCTCGGCTGGTTGCGGGCCTACTGGGAGAGCCGGGGCGGGCAATGCTGAGAGCCTTGCAGATGACCCAGCTTATCAAATGACCCTTCCATCCCCTACCACCCTACCCCTAAGAAAGACACCACCCCACAAAACACATGTATGTGTTATCTCTTCTGATAGAATGTAAACTCCTCGAGGACTGTTAATCCCCACTGTCCAGCACTCGTGTGGCTTAATAAATGCTTACTGTTTGACTGGTTTGAAGAGCTATTATAAAGCTTCTTAGCCTTAGAATGTACCTTAGAATTTTAGGGCTGGAGGGATCATAGAAAGGCCAGCCCGCTAACAGGCCCAGAATCAGAAATCATCTAATCCACTCCTTCAGTGAGTGTGGCAGGACTGGAATAGAATTCAGGGCTCCTAGGCCCAGGGGCGGTGATTTACAAGTGCAAGGGTACTATAATGATTTACAAAACTTCGTGGGAAGGAGAGTGCTTTTTGTCCTAACTGCTCATAGAGGATAAGCAGGAGCGGCTCTTTAGGAGCTTGGAGGAGGCTAACTGAATTCCTTGTGGGTGTCGGCAATCTATGAGCTTGACTGGATTTGTCCTCTTTCCCACACAGATTCAGGCTCTCTTATGTCCTGTGAACTGAATACTGCTTTCTACATTCCTTGGACTTCCTACTTACTCCATTGCTATTCAATCCCTACATTTTCAGCCATGTTCACAGATTGCTGATCCTGTCCTGGGGTTGGGAAGCATTGACTGCCACATCGAGGTCCAATTCTGGTTTTTGTATTTGGAATTCTATTTCCAATGATTGAGGAATCTCCACCTATCTAATTTTGGATTATGTCTAGAGCTGTCCTAAAGAGGGAAGGATAAAAGGACAATGATGTATTGCTCCAATTCAGAGTCCTCTATGTAAGGAGCCTAGAACACCTACAAGCTAACTAGTTTTCTAAAGACTCTTTTCTCCTTTATCAGCTTTGCTATCTAAGCCTTTTCAAGGAAGAGGAGCCTAAAACTCCAGAATATGATGGATACTCCTTGCATGACTGAGACTTGGGTACATTTCAGTTTAATTTTCTGATTCCTGAGTCATCATCCCTGAAGTACTTTCTGTATTTTCCCTTTGCTCTACTACCAGAACCTCTTCTTCCTACAATCCCGATCCAGTTACATTCCTTATAAAGTCTGGCCTGCCTGGTTGCTGTTGACCTTTATATCCCATGTGTATAAAAAAGTTAATTTTGGGGGCAGCTAGGTGGTGCAGTGGATAGAGCATTGGCCCTGAAGTCAAGAGGACCTGAGTTCAAATCCTGCCTCAGACCAAACACTTGACACTTACTGTGTGACCCTGGGCAAGTCACTTAACCCCAAATGCCTAAAAATTTTAAAAAAAAGTTAATTTTGAGTAAATTGGAGCACTTGCCATGACCTCGCGGCAGTCCTTCACATGGCCTCCCAGTAACCCTAGGGCCATTTATAATATGGGCATATTTAGTACTAGGTGATCTTTACAACACTTTGCAGCTCTCTTCCACACCTTAGAGCTCTTTGACTGGTGAGGAACAAAGAGCAGCACAGCACAGGGAAGGCAGCACTTGCCTTGATGTCAGAAGAACTAAGCTCAAGATCTATTTCTGTAATATACTAGCTCTGTAACTTGGAAAAAAAATCACCACTTCTCATCAGAAAACCAGGATATTTGTCCTTCCTTCTTCGTGGGTATTGTCAGGATCCAATCAAATGAATGTGAGGGTGTTTTTTGCCAACAGTACATGCCATTAGAAATGAAACAGCTCATATGCTTCTCACAGCTATGAATCTGGGATGGATTCCCAACCAAAAAAGGGGTGTGTCAATTACAAAAGACAAAAGAGATAATTCTGATTTTATAAAATTGAAAAGCTTCTTGCACACCACCACATAGGATAAGAAAAGAAGGGAGGGGTCTATTTCAAATATCTCCAATAAGATTTTGGTGAACAAAATATACACAAACAACTAAGAAATATATGACCAAAAGATATTCCCAATAGATCACCGGTAAAAAAAAATTTTTTTTTTCAAAAACAGTTCCCAAAAGAAGAATTGCAAACTATGAACAAGCACATGAAAGGCTGCTCCAAATCACTCATGTTAAGAGAAGTCTGACCTTGACTTCATGCCCAGCAAATTGGCAAAGATAACATTAAAAGAAGAGAATGGTCAAAGTTGGAGGGATTGTGGAAAGAAAAGCACGCTAAGGCATTCATTGCTGGCAAAACTGTGAAGTCATGAACTAGAACAATTATTCTGGGAAGCAATTTGGAATTATGCAAATAAAGTGGTTAATATGTCCAAACCATTGAACCCAGAGTTTCCACTGCTGGCAATATAAGCCAATAAAGTCACTGACAAAAAAAAAAAAAAAGGCTCCATATACACCCAAATATTTTTAGCAACATTTTTTCTGTAGCAACAACTTGGAAACAAAGGTGTCCACTCACTAGGGATTTTGGCTGGCCAAACTATGGTACATGAATGTAATAGAGTATTATTGTGCTGAAAATTACAATTAGCATGTAGAATACAGAAAAGCATGGAAAGACTTATAAAAACTGATACAAAGTGAAGTAAGCAGAGCCAGGAATACAATATTGCAATGACTGCAAAAATGTAAATGGAAACAGCAGCTACAAAACAATCGAAACTAAATGTTGCAGAATTATAAACAACAAGCTTGGCCCCAAAGAGATCTAAGACTTTCCCCTACTCTTTTCCAGAAGCCAGGGTCCACAGTTATGGAATATTACATTGTGATGATTAAAAAGGTTTGAGGACATAGTTTCTGGGTAATTTAATCATTTTATTGATAAGGCCAGCAGGTTAATAATAAAGACAATCATGGTGGCAGGCTAAGTTTATATATCTTTTGAAGAGTAGGTGCTAAATAGGGGGCTGAGAGTGACATCATGACATCCCTAGACAGAGAAACTATATACTCAGACCACCCCCAGCCTTGGACTATCCAGACAAAAGGATCCAAGCTTGATTGGAACACAATGGGTTTCCTCAACTTAGATTAAAGTCCTTGTAAGGTTGGGGGGGGGGAGGTCTAACCAAAATTGAGGAGAGTTAATTCAGTTTCATTATCAGTAATGTCTTTCAAGAGACTGAACTTAAAATCAGGACTTTGGAAGAGCACTGAATCTCCCCAAGACATTAGTTATTAATAATCATTTTTCTCAACATATAACAAATTTTTTTCAATGTGTTAATCAGACTTTCTTAATTTTTTCTCTTCCTTTTTTTGGGGGGGGTGGGGCAATTGGGGTTAAGTAATTTGCCAGTCACACAGCTAGTATCACGTATCTGAGGTCAGATTTAAACTCAGGTCCTTCTAAGTCCAAGGCTGGTTCTCTATTCACTGTGCCACCTCCCTGCTCCCTCTTTTTCTTTAAAAAAAAAAAATCATCTATTGGGGCAGCTATATGGCGCAGTGGATAGAGTGCTGGCCCTGAAGTCAGGAGGAAATGAGTTCAAATTTGGCCTCAGACACATAACACTCACTAAGTGTGTGACTCTGGGCAAGTCACTTAACCCCAACTGCCTCATATTAAAAAAAAAATCATGTTACAAGGAATGGCTCTCTAGAATTGGGGAGATAAAAAACCTAGGTAATATAAAAACAGTATTGATAAAAATCTATTTTTTTAACATTGCAAATGCTATTAAATGGAAGTACTATGATTGTTACTAGACATGCTTCATTTCACAGATGAGGAAACAAAAGTTCAAGACCATAGAGCAAGTAGTAGAGTTAGGCCTTGAATCCAAGTCCTCTGATTTCAAGGTCCTGATTATCCCATCACACCATAATGCTTCTCTTTTATCTTTGGGTAGCAGGAATGAGATGATTCCAGTGAGATGGCAGAATAAGTGGTGTTAACTATGCCCAGCTCTCCTTCATCACCTCAAGACAACAATGAATGTGCCAATTAAGGTCAAACAACACATGGAAAAAAGAAGGGAACAAAGGATAAGAGATTTAGAATTGGAAAGGTCCTTAAAGTCCATTTAGTCCAACCATTTTATTTTAGAAATAAGCTAACTTAAGTTCAAAGAGGTATTTTGCTTAGGATCACACAGCTAGTAAGTATCTGAGGCAGAACACTTACATCCAGTGCTCTATCCAGTGCATGGATAAAACTATGTCACCTAATGGCTGGAAAGGAAATTAAATCACACTGCCTAAACATAACTGAAGAAATGAGGAGGCATGTCCAAAAACCCAGAGGAAAAAAGTAATCTAGCAAACCCTTGAAGTATCTTTCCACATCAGGATGAGCAGAAACAAGCACAAGAAGGAAAGCTTCTAAAGAGAGTAATTGCCTTCTATCCAATGCAAGGCGGCCAGTATTTCTTTTTTATTATTATTATTTTTTCCCAATTACAAGTAAAGACAATTTTAATATTCATTTTTTAAAATTCTGAGTTTCAAATTCTCTCCCTCCCTCACCCCCCTCCAACATGGTAAGCAGTTTGATGTAGGTTATACACGTGCAGTCATACAAAACATACTTCCATATCATTCGTGTTTTGAAAGAAGATATAGATTCCAAAAAAAAAAAACAAAAACAAAAACCGCACACAAAAAATAACAAGGGGGCCAGTATTTCCCAGAGAGGTTAGAATCCTGGAGGTACCTTCACCATTCACATTGCCGGGTACAGGCAAAAAGGAGGACACCCCATCAAAAAGTATTTGCGTATCTAGCAACATAGTAACTTTAGTTGTAACCTATAAGGAATGAACAATCAAACAGCAACTTCTGCAGAGAAAGTAACAAGAACTTGAGATAAAAGGAATTGCCAAAATGAAGAGGAAAATCCACAGATATTTTCCTCTGGCAAACAATTATGTATATCACATTCACACTGAACTGTAAGAGGTTTGAGACTAGTTAGAACTGTGACCAGTATGTCATTATTTCCCTGAAAGTTTTTTCCTTGGGTTTTTTTAGGGGTTGGTTCTCTTTATAGATTATTCCCATTAGAAGTCATCTGGATCAAAAAACAAGATAAAGGGAAGCTTAGAAGAATGAAATAAATGCAGATTCCCAAGTTTAACCTTAAAGGTTGAAGAATTAAGCAATTTGAATTGCTCAAAAAACAAAAATCTTTCAGGACTACTTGCAAATTCATGAACACATTAAGAATTTGAAAATGGGGGCAGCTAGGTAGTGTACTGGATAGAGCATCAGCCCTGGGTCAGGAAGATCTGAGTGCAAATCTAGCCTCAGACACTTGACACTTACTAGCTATGTGACCCAGGGCAAGTCACTTAACACCAATTGTCTCAAAAAAAAAACAAAAACAAAAAAATTCAAAAATGAAATTTCTTTCACAAAGAAAAATTTCTCAAGTCCATGGGGACAGAAACTTTGCAGACTGAAAAAAAAAAGAATCTGAGAATAGCTACAATTAGGAAAACAAAGACACATTGTAGGCATGAGTTTCAGTTACTAACAATAATTTGTACACAAAAAATGGCAGGCAAGATATTATCAAGAGCTGGTATAAATGGAGGTGGGCTGGTCACACAGGGAAAATAAGAAAGGATTGAACAGTGCCAAATGGCATATTGGTAATCCCTGAAATATAAAAGGAAGGCCTCCAACATGTTAGATCCTCTGTGGGACATACTAGGGAGAATATGGTCAAGAATTACAAAGAATAAAAGGCCAAGGGTACCCACACCAATGACATCACAGGGCCTTCAAAGTAACAAAAGTAATGTGACAAGAGCAGCTTATTACATACAGACAGCACCATCCAAGCAAATAATAGAGGAATAAAATGATAAGTACCTGACCTAGGCAGGGGAGTCCTGGCAAGCCATAGGAGGGGCATATGGTGAAGATAGGGTATTGTAGGATGGTACCTACCGGAGACTTGGGGGGAGGAGAAAGAAATAGTGGCAACTGACAGCTGGATGAGATCACTACTTTTTCAGATCCACTAACACATAATACTCCTGCTACAGACCCTTGACATACAAGGATTTACATTCAATTACTGTATACTTCCCATGGCATGCTACTGGTATTGCTTAGGCCAAAGGACAGGGATGGATAGATGGGTTTTGAGCCTCTAGCTTCCTAGTGGTGCCATGTAAACCACTATCATTTGTCTTAATCTCAAGAAAAATAAACCAGTTCCCTCATAGCTGCCAAACAGGATCTTAGAATCTTGCCCCTTACATGCAGAGATGAGGCTTACAGGTCCTCCATTTCAATCTCTACAACACAGGAAGTGAGCTCACACCAATAACATGGGAATGTGTGAAGCCTGTTCCTTCCTTTGACTGGAATCAACAGGAGCTGCAAGGATCCATCCAATCCCACACATGCAAAGATGCATCAGCTGCTGCAGATAACAATGTCCTTGGTTTGCTGGGGTGCCAGGCATGTGTGGTGATCAGTGAAAGCAAGTCATTCTCAGTCCCATCCATGAAAAGATGTCCTTTATGGATAAAGAGTGGTTCTACATGGCTCCCATTTCTCTCCCAAGACGTGCTATCATAGATCTGGACAGTCCCACCAAAACCTAATGAACGCAGAAAAAATTTGATAAACAAGCCAGGTAAAACAATATTAGGCTTTCCTCAAAATTTTCCATGACATAAAGCTGGCCACAAGATGCTGAATTTAAAAATTGAAGATTTCCTAAAGGGTATGTTAACATCTTCCCTAAATCAAGGTAGTCAGTAACCTCACCAAGTACATCAAAGCTGTCTAAAAACTCTCTATCCCAAGCAAAACTATCCCAACAAAAGGCCAGGGCTGCATAGGATATCTAATGCAACCTCCTCCTCTCACACAGGAGAAGCCTAAGGCCCAAATGTTCACTGACTTGCCTGATGTTATCCAGTAAGATGGCAGCAGGACCAGGACTAAAATCAGGTCTCAACTCCTTATCCCTGTTCCTTCCACTACCATCAAGCTGCCTCTCATGACTAAAACATGGATCACAAGAAAGCAGCAAGTGAAAAACTACAATCATGGCCCAACAAATACTCGGGTAACATCTTCAGGGCATCTATGCTTTTAAAACTGAAAAAGCTGCTGACCACATCCATGACTCAGAACATTAAGTACAGTGGAGAATATACTGAACTGGGAGTGAAGATATCTGTTAGTGTCTAACTCTTCTCTAGCAGTTAAGAAAAATAAAGACTCTTATGGAAAAAACAAAACCAAACACAAACTCTGGAGTGTAAAGAGAAAAGACATGAACCCACCTCCCACAGATTATAATAATCCTCATAACCCAGTTATATGCATACATATACAGGGTGTTCTAAAAGTCTTAGTGCAACTGGAAGCTATTAAATAAAAGTTATAGTAGCTTAAGATCACAACAAGGCTTCTGGAGCAGACCTCTACCTACACACACACACACACACACACACACACACACACACAGTCATGTCCAGTGCCTAGCAGACCTAGGACCCCAGAGATCACAAAACTGAGGCCCATCCTTCTGCCATTTCCACATTCCCTAGTTTCTTTGTAGGCTGTTTATTATTATTTTTTTTTTAGTGGTTGGTTGGTGGGTCAATTGGAGGGTTCTTGGTAGGTACATTTTAACTCTCAGGGGTAAATTGGGCATGAAACCTGAAGCTTAAGGAATCACCTAGAAAATAAAAATAAGACAGATATGCCGCCTCAGACGTACCTGAAATGGCTAAGTAGCCATCTAGAGTAGGAGCCCAGGTTACCCTCAGTAACTCCCAGTCTGGGCTGGGCATAGAAACTGAGCACTGCACTGTTGTCACTGGATGGTCAAGGTCCCTTAAGTCTATGAGCTGAAGCTGTCCACTTGTGGACAGACTGGCAATAGTGGGGCCTGGCCCCTGCCCACTGGTTCGAACTGCAGCACACCACTGCTCCCCACCAGGTCCAGGGTTTGAGGCAGTCCTTTTTGAGTCACCCAGCTTCTGCCGGATGTCCACAAGCCCCAGTCGTCCCGAAGCACAGCAGAAGACAAACGTATCTGCATCCAATACTTGCAGACTACTTATCTCTTCTTCACTGTCACTCCCACCTGGAAAGCCAAAATGAGAAAGATTTCGTTATCAAGCAAATGAGAAAGGAAACTCAGTGGATATGAATGGCAGCAAGTCATATGCCTATCTCAATTCTGACACCCAAGAGCTGAGGGTTTGGTAAAAACAGATTCTCTTGTCTAGTGCCTGATAAAACATGGACCTGATGTCTAGGATAAGAAGGGGCCTCAGGACTAGCCTCTCATAAAAAGGACACCAGGCAGTGGGCACACTTTCTCCAGCAAGGATGGATCAAAAAGTCTTTTGGGGTCAAAGTGGAAGGAAAGTAGCAGGGATCATACATTTAGAACTGGAAGGGACTTTGGAAGTCAATTCATCCAACTAGTTAATTTTACAGATTAAGAAAGAGAGGCCCAGGGAGTTTAAATGACTTGCCCAAAGTAGGGAATAAGAAGCAGAGCCCTAGGATTTGAATCCAGGTTCTCTGACTCCAAATCCAGAATTGTTTCCTCTGTACTACATTGTATTTCACTCTATAATTGGACAAGCATAAATGACATCAGTTTCATGAAGCGTTTTGAACACTATAAAGGAGAGATCCCATAGAAAGACAGGATTAATAAATTAAATACGGGAGTGGTAGCTCCATCCGGGAACCAGATGCAGGATAAGAGTATCATTTCAATACCTGACATGTAGAGAGTCTTCTGGGACTCCAGTTCAGTAATGTGCAGATCACTGACCCTGGCCCCATGGAGGACTCTGGGGACCTCAGAAGTGAGGACTGCAATCTTGGGCCAGAGACTACTTTCTGCCCCATGGACAGCAATGGTACTTACGACTTTAATCACGTCTGGAGGAAGAAAAACAAAATATCAGCAAAGATTACTATACTGGAGCACTTCCACATTTAACATGCTAAAGGAAAAGTGGGATGAATTTATGGTTTAGATAAAAATAAAATGTAAGGAAGGTCTTGACAGTGAAGATAAACAATGGAATAGATTGCAAAGAAAGAGTATACTGGCTTTCTCCTTCTCTGGATATATATACATGTTCAAGGAACCCTCATACATCTGAGCTGGATTAGGTAGCTATCTTTCTGGAGGCAGCACAATCTTCACTTTCACTGTGACTGTGGCTGGGCAAAGACTAATAGCTTCAGAAAGCATGCTAACAACAGGGCATGTACACACCTACTTATTGACCTGAATTGAATCCCAGCAATAAAATTAGAAAAGGGGCTGAAATACAACAGCTAGAATGACAGGCACAGAAATTGATGGTAGCAAGGAAGACTGAACAGTATCCAAATCATTAATAAGAGAAATGCAAATTAAATCAACTCTAAAGCTTCACTTCACACCATCAAATTAGTAAAAATGAAAAATATGGAAATCATCCATGTTGGGACAGTATGGTGGTATAGTAAAAAGAACACTCGCCTCATAGGAAAAACAAAACAAACAAACAAACAGCAACAACAAAAACTTGGGTTCCAGTCCTGGCTCTACGGTTTCCTGTGTGACTGGGGCAAATCACTTACCACCTCTGAACCTCAGTTTCCTTATCTACTAAATGGAAATAATAATATTTGTACTATGTATTTCATAGGGATGTTATAACATTCTTCATAAAATCATAAAGTGTTATATTGATGTGAGGCCTTATTTTCCATTACCTTATTTGAAAAATCTCCTGAAATCACTTACCACTATCTTCTGCAACCTGCCACACCTGTAGAGAATTGCCAGGTGGGCCACTTGTCACCAGCAACCTATGGAGAGCAAGTGGAGATATTATGCCAGGCTCTACAGTCTGCCCCTTTCATCCTATTTGACTTTTCGACCCATATAATCCAGGCTTGCTCCTAATGCACTTCTTATAATCTCAAAATTTTAGACATTAGACAGTGTTGTTCAGTTGTTTCAGTCGTGTCTGACTCTTTTTGACACCATTTGGGGTTTTCTTAGATAGAGTAGAGATAGAGTAGAGTAGAGATACTGGAGTGGTTTGCCATTTCCTTCTCCAGCTCATTTTACAGATGAGAAAACTGAGACAAATATGACTTGCTCAGGGTCACACAGCTGGTAAGTGTATGAGGTCAGATTTGAACTCAGGAAGATGAGTCTTCCTGGCTTCAAGCCCAGCACTTGCTACCTAGTTGCCCCAAGACATTAGAGATCATTTAATCCAATTCTTTTTTGTACAGGTAAAGAAACTTTAGTACAGGGTTAAAGTGCCTAAGGTCCCACAGTCAATTAGGGACAGTGCTGGGCCTAGAGGCATAATCTCCAGTCCACTGCTCTTTCCATTACATTAACTTCTCCAAAAAAGTAAAAACTCATATGCACAACAAAACAACAGCAAAGTGGAATTTGAACATGACCAAGAAAACCTCTTAATCTACCAAATGAGCTAGTCAGATAAACCCTGCTAGAAATGTTTTCTCAATCTTCATCTCCAGTAGCTGACCACAGCTCTCTTATCTGCTCTTTAGGTACATCTTTGTAGCCTTTCATTCCTTCTGTCCTAAACTCAATCTCTACAAGGCTTCTTAAAACTTTTTCTATTCTCAACCCTTTCAGTACTTCTTAAACTGTGGGTTGCTACGTGTGTGTGTGTGTGTGTGTGTGTGTGTGTGTGTGTCTGTGTGAGGGAGGGAAACCTTTGTTGTAGTTTTGTTTTGACCAAGGCTCTAATTTTACCAATGATCCTACTTTTCTATTGTTTTTTATTCGGGGCTGGGGCATGGGGAAAGTATGCTGTCACCTCTATCCTTTCCCTTCTTCTGGTACAGTGGTACGGAATGCTGAGCGATGAATGTTACATATGTGCCATATGTTGCATATGCAAAGGTGCCAGCTGGTTTTGCTTAACTGTTTTTCTTTGTTTCAAAGATAGGGTCATATCTAAAAATGACTGATGTAAAAAATAAAATGCATCAATAAACCATTTTTAGAATTAAACTGTCTGAGGCACAGAGCTGATTTATACCTGGTGTCTGGCACATGCTTCAGGTTGTAGACAGGCTTGTCTGAAAATCCCCCATGTTTCATCCTGAAATCTCTTTCTGGGCATAAGCCCTAAAACACAAATAAAAAGTCAATTAACTATTCCCTGGTTTTTGGATGCTTCTTACAGATGAGTTTCATGACATCAATAAGCTCACACAAACAAGGAGAAAGATTACTGCTACTTTTACTACCTGCCTTTTTCCCAAGATGTCTTACCAGAGGTTTCTGCAGGTAGGTAGTGAAATGCTCAATCAAAGTTAGAAGTGGAGCACATTATGGCTACAAGGAGAAGGTCAGTATAACAGATAAATGCAGCTAGAGGAGATAAGGGTTGGGGAGCCCAGGAGCAAGGTCTGATTTTTGGCCTCCAAAAGGTTAGGAGAAACGTAACCCAGCTCAGGGTCTCAGAAGTCAAAGAGAACTAAGAGTGATAGTAATATATAGTGATATATATTGTGATAGTGATAGATAGTCCAGGTGATAGTAAATAGCTAATTAGTATGAAAACTTTCTCCAAGGTTTCAAGTATGCTGTAATTTGTACTGCTTGTCTCTCTTGTCCTCAAAAAAACACATCAAGGACGTTCTTTGTTTCACATCCAGTGAAATCATTTCCCCAGCCCTTTCTGCTATAGTATGAACCTTACATTCCAAATCCCTCTCTTGATAGCCATTAAGAACTAGTGAGCTACTTGCTGTCATCACATAAAAATGGTACATATAGGCAATCTTATATGACCAGCTCTACCTTATCCATATCAGTGTATAAGCTTACAGCCACACCTAGGCTGAAACATTTGGGGACAATCCATAATGCAATCTGTTACTTGGGAATCAATCAGTCAGAAATTGAAAAATACAGTCTCTGACCTCAAGGAACTCACATTCTAATGTGGGACCCAACATGAAAACAACTATGTATATTCAAGATCGATCTATCTACCTAGAAAGAGACAAGAGAGATGGGGGGAGAGAGATGTAATTTCAGAGGGAATACGCTAGCACTGTGTGTGTGAAGGGGAAAAGACAAAGGAGAGCAGGAAAGATCTCTTGAAAAAGATGGTGTTTGAGCTGCGTCCTGAAGGAAGCCAGAAGTTGGAAATAGGGAGAGCATTCCAGGCAAAGAGGAGAGGTAGTAAAAAGGCACAGAGCCAGGGGATAGAGAGTCACATAAAAGAAATTGCAATAAAGTTACTGTCATTGGATCACAGAACAAATGGAGGGGGGTAAAATGAAAGCTAATCATTTCAGGTTGTTGCTGCTGCCTGCACCAACTCTCTAGAATTAGAGTTGCCTTCACTATTACTGAAAAGACAAAAATATACACATATCAGTATTATCCTTGAGTCCCTAACTCTGGATTTCCCAAAGTTGGAGGAAAAGCAACTGGTTAAATGGATAAAAAAAGTTATACCCCATTCTCCCCATCCTTCCAAGATGGGAAGAGGAGATATGTGAGAATGCCATGAGGAAGAGAATCTGGGTCTGCAGACCCAGTTCAGAAGGATTTCATTATTTGGCCTAGCTTGGGATGATGAATGGATGAGGAAAGGACAGATGGAATTTGGGAACACATATCCCTTAGGACTTCTTATACACTTATATACTTAATGACCATCCCTGTTCACATCCATCTTCATTCCATGTCTCCTTGCTCTAGCTTTCACCCTGGAGCCTTTGGCTCTGAAGTAGAGAGAGTTCTTTATCTCTAGGCTGGACCCGACCCTGGCTCTCCAACACCCTCATGCTTTATGCTTTATACCTTCTTTCCCACCTTCTACTTCAAGCTCTTGTAAGGACTTTCAATTAATTACCCTATAGCTCCACTCATCATCCTTTCAATTTCCCAAACCAAAATCCCTCTCCCCTATATTATGTGTCTTCCTCTGTTAGAATATAAGCTACTTAAGGGCAGAGACTCATCTTGCTTTTTATATTTGTATTCCCAGCATTTAGAGGACTGCCCAGTACATAGTAAATTACTTAATAAAGGCTTTTTTTCATTCATTCGGGCCCTAAAGGCTGCCCTCTACTTCTACAATCATTTTGGAGATGAAGGAGCAATTCAACTTCCAATATACCTGGTTTTCAGCACAGAGTTTTGGGGGTAAAAGAAGATGCAGCACTTCATTTCTTTTCTGACTTTCACAGCCCGCAACAAAGACTCCTATAAGGTGAAGTAAAAAAAAAAAAAATAGTCAGCCAACAGATATCTTCGAGACCAAAGCCAAGTACAGAAATACCCTCCGAACCCTGAAAATTCTGAGTAGAGGCAGCCACTCCATCATAACATTACCCAGCAAGACACACAGTAACTAGGGATAGAAAACATCGGTATCATAAAAGCAGTGGCAAGAAACTGCTTCCAGGACACGGTCAGGAAACTGGGTCTCCAGAACTCTTTGTCCCCACTAACAAGCAGCACTTACCAATTCCTTTAAGAGGGTACCTAAGAAGGACTTATTCCCTTGGTGGGCAAAGGGGAGTAAGGTCACCTTGGTTATCAGTCCACTCCAGGACTCTGGTGGGACCTGGCAGCTCAAATGCATGGAGATCTCGGTACCTAAACGAAAACAAACAGCAGCATGATGTTGTGAAAAGCACACTGTGTGGAGTTAGAAGACCTGGGTTGGTTCAAGCATCAGGTCTGCCTTTTCTTAGCTCTGTGCCCAATAACAAGCCCCTTCAACTGCGTCTAGTTTCCTCCCAGGATTAGCCCGAGGGAAACACTTACAAACCTTATTATAAATAGGAACCACCGTGTTTCTGTGGTTATTACTAGCTTGATGCACTTTCATCACCATTAACCTCACGTCTACAAAACGCTTTTCTCCCATCAGGGTCCGGCAGGACTTTATTTTATGCCCATTGTACAGACGGGGAAGTTGAGGCTCGGGGGGTGCCTAGATGAGGAATAACTGACCCCCCCCTCCCCCGCCTCGGATAATGGACCCGAGGCCGGAGCTGTCTGGCCTCTCGGCCCAAGCGGAGGGAAGACAGCCAGAGTCCGCCCAGTCCCGCCCGGACAGCCCCTTGGGCCTCTAGGTTGGCCCCCGGCCGCCGCTATGCTACCCTCCCGCCCCGCTCCACCCGCTTCCCAGCCCGGTTTACAAGCGGAGAGAGTCCACAAGCCAATCTGCAGCCTCATCCATGCTCCTTGCAGCCTCCAGAAGCTTCCTGTCGGCCCACGCCAATGCGGATCCTGCAGACGGAGACGTAAGGGCGTGGGCGTGGCCCCGCCAGCTGATCGTAACCCCGCCTCCTCGTCCCCCGCCCCTGGCCCTGGGAGCGCGGTGAAAGGGAGCTGTGCCTACGTGGGAAGAGGAGGAGAGGCACGGGTTGCCAAGGGGTGTGGCCTCCACGTGGACCCTCCCCTGGAGAAGTCAGATGAGCTGGGGAAGGGGGCGGCCTGGACAGCGAAAGTCCTAGCATTTAGAACTGGAAGGGACATTAGAGGTTACCTAGTGGTCCAACCCCATCATATAAACTAAATCAACTGAGAATGTCACAGAATTATTAAGTTGGCAGAACCATGGGCACTCTTGATTCCACATTTAAGACTCATTGCCTCTATTCTAAGACTCACAAAATTTGGAATGTTAAAGGGACTTCAGAGATCATCTGGTCCAACCCTCTTATTCTGCAGATGGGGAAACTGAGGCTCAGGAAAGAGAAATATATATACACAGCCAGTGAGAGAAAATGACTTGCCCACCATTACACAATTTGGGGCAGAGGTAGGATGAAAACTCAGACCCACTGACTCCCATTGGGGCATCCTTTCTTTATTGTTCAGTCATTCATTTGTGTCCAACTCTTTATGACCCAGTGGAGCAACTGTATATAGGGTTTTCTTGGCAAAGATACTGGAGAGCTTTGCTGTTTCCTTCTCCAATTTCATGCTGGCAGTGGGTGCTGGGAGACTGGAGGGCCAGAACCCTTCCTCTCCTGCCCAAGGGGCATTCCTTCCACTATACCATAACCTTCACTTTTTTGAAGACCTGTCTGTCTATGCAGACTGAGCCAGACTGCTGAGGGGAGAGTGTACAGTCCACTAAGGTCCCACAAGTGTGGGATGGAGCATATAGGGGCTTAGCAAAGTGCCTGGTACATAATATAAATGCTTATTGACTGACTGACACCACCTTTCATCTCTCATCAGAAGGACCACTCTGGTTGCCATGGAGCCCATAGGGCTCCCCATAGGGAATAGGAGAACAGCATTCTTCTACAGGGAATGTCCTAGTCGGGCAGAGTCAGAGAGTCAAAGACAGAGTTTCCCAACAAGCCATAGTTGGGAGGGTGAAATAGTGGGAAGTGCAGGAGCCAGTTGTCTTTAAAAAGCCATGGCCTCATTTGGAGCCGACCTCTTCTTATCTCACACCCTCTCCCTCACCCCATTGGTGAGATTCCCACAGGAATGGCTAGAATGAGAGGCCCACACATTCTGTGCAAAGAATAAGGTTTTATTCACAACCTCAGCAAGGATGCAGAAAAAAAAATATACAGAAGATACATCATTTGTGTCTTGAAGAACAGCGTTAACAGTGAGTGATCTCAATCAAAGACTATAGAAATGATGTAGCAACAAGGGACTGAAATTACTCTTCATCAGACTGTGGCAGTAGCCCCTGATGACCATGCTCTGAACTCCAGACAGCTGCTTGGTCTGTGTAGTTTGAGCAGTAGCTGCCAGTGACCTGACTACTTCTCCAGCTGCTGAACCAGCATCCATAGGTCCTAGGAAGGGGAAAATGATATCAAGAATTGCCCTTTGGTGCACTCTACTAGTCCCACCTATCAGTTACCAGAAGGGGACAGGGATGCATAAATAGCTCTCTAGGGGAGAATTGTGTCCCTCAAATTAAAGAGGCTAGAGCCTTGGAAAGAGTCACAGGAAAGAGATGGGACCACTGTTGGGAACCTCCTTCTTGAAGCCTTCCTGAGTTTTACCCAGAATTCTTATTTCTACAGACCCAAGAGGAGTTGAGTGCTGTGTTTCTCTCTCTACTCTTGTCTGTGAAGTGAGCAAAGGAATAATTAAGAAGAATAGACAACTAATCTCTATTCAGTCTTCTATAGAGAGATGGACCTAGGCTGTAGATCATCCATGGATCATGGCATGCAGTATAGTAACATCACCCTGCATATCCAAACTAACCCAAGCCTCACTTCCCAACACTTCCTCCCATTAAAGACATTCTGGAGGGAGGGAGGGGGAGAGAGAGAGAGAGAGAGAGAGAGAGAGAGAGAGAGAGAGAGAGAGAGAGAGAGAGAGAAGCAGTTAAATGAGAGGCAATGTTGGCTGATGGAAAAAACAATGGATTCAAATGTTTCAACTGCCATGCACAGGGCAGGTAGGCCAGCTGAGCTGAAGCAGCAAGGCACTTTGAGGGCAAGAGAGGAGGCAGCATATGCCAGGCAAGTCAAATCACACCCCCCACACACCTCAACCACTATCTATCCCCCCTTAGACCCTGATGGAGACAATCCAGGACCCTGAACCCAAGAAGCTTGGGAACAGCATTGCCCCAAAAACCCAGCAGACCTGCTTCCAGCACAGTGCCCTCAGCCATCATATTGGCAAGCAACTGCTATGGAGATGCAGGGTGGTAACCACTCCTGCAGGTGCTACAGCCTCAGCTACTGAAGACCCAGAAAAAGGTTTTGCCACCAAACTCCTTGGTGCTTTCAAATAGTTCTACATCAGGAACCAATATGATTTTATCAGTGGAAGTGACATTAAGGAACCCCAAGAAACACTGGGTCTTTCCATCTGACTTGTAGTTGAAACCTTCCATGTGTGTTATCTGCCCTGTTAGAATGTGAGCTCCCTGAGAGCAGGGAATGTCTGGCTTTTCTGTTGTATCTCTGTCCTTTGGCATAGTGCTATGCACATAGTAAGTGCTTAACAAATCATTCATTTTAGACAGGTTTGGAACTCAACTCTGCCTCTTTACTGCCTATGTGACTTTTAGCAAGTTATACATAATCTCTCTGAGTCTCAGTTTCTTCATCAGTTTAAAAAAAAAAAAAGGAGGCTGGGCAGTGGATAGAACACTGGACTTGGAATCAGGAAGACCTAAGTTCAAATCCAACCTCAGATATTTAGTAGCTATGTGACCCCTAGGCAGGTCACTTAGTCTCTGTTTGCCTCAACTGTAAAATGGGAATGGCAGCTAGGTGACACAGTGGATAGAGCACCAGGCCTGGAATCAGGAAGACCTGTGTTCAAATCTGGCCTCAGACACTTACTAGCTGTGTGACATCGGGCAAGTCACTTTACCCTGTTTGCCTCAGTTTCCGCATCTGTAAAATGAGCTGGAGAAGGAAATGGCAAACCATTCCAATATCTTTGCCAAGAAAACCCGAAATGGGGTCATGAAGAGTAAGACATAACTGAAACAACTCAACAACAACAACAACAAAATAGGACTAATAATGAGTACCAACCTCCTAGCATTGTTGTGAGGATGGAATGAGATCATATATGTAAAGAGCTTAGCACAATGCCTGGGCCATAGCAGTCTCTCTCTTAATAAATGTTTCTTTCCTTTCTTCCTTCTGTAGGTGGTTCTCTTATCAAGCTGCTATGCATTTATGCCATGCATGGTCTGGGGTTATTCCACCATTCTACTATATGGCCACAAACATGGCTCTGGGCTAGATCCTGGGACCCTTTTGTATGACTACAAAAGGTAGAAAATTAACTTCCGATCTCCAACAGAATGTAAACTCCCTGAAGGCAGGAACTAGTCTTTGTATCTCCAGCATCCAATCGCAGTACCTTCGAAGTACCTTGTACTTAAAAGGTGCTTGGTAAATTATTACTGGATTGGATTGGGGAGAAACAACATAGCAGTTATCTGCTTGCCCAAAGGATGATGTTATTCTCCTCACTTAATATCCCAGGCACAAAATCTCAAGGAGCACAGAGCCAGTACAGACATTGCTGCTGTGATGGGGACATTGGACAGGCTCCAGGTGATAAAGACTGAGAAATTTATGTGCTATCAAAGGTTCTGATCTTGCCTCTGCCACTAATTTATTGTATGATCTTAAACAAGTCACCTAAACATCCTGAACCTCAGTTTCCTCATCTGCAAAATCTAGGGATTGGAATAGATGATCCCTATAGCCCTTTCTAGATATAGCAACCTATGATTTGATGATCTAGGGAAGGTGGAGGCTGTGTCTAATTCACCTTTATATTCCTCACAATGTCTAGCACAGTACCTTACACATAGTAGGTCCTCAATAGTTAATTATATATTTGAAAGGAAATTGAAATATGTTCCAAGGAACATAAGCTAAATAGCTTATAGGGGCTAAATAGAGGAAAGGCTGGTTAATTTTATCATTGTATCCCCAGCACCCAGCACCCAGCACCCAGTAAATATTTGATAAATGCTAGTTGAGTTGAATTTATAAATGATTTGTATTGACGAATGGAAAAATTGGAGTGAATACTTCAAAAAGTATTGATACTTGATTTTAGAATTGATGTGATTATTTTTGGTAGCAGAAGAAGACGCAAATGGAATCTTCCCAATTATACCTTATGTAGGCCAGTATTAAAATTGGCTACATATTACTGGCTTAAGTGGCATTAAATATTGCCTCTAGCTTCCATGGTAGATAGCAGGTTTTATAAAATGACAGATACAATTTTAGAAAGGCAAAATGATGTAATAGAAATATCACTGGATTTGCAATCAGAGGACCTAGGTCACCTCACTCAGCTTCAGTTTCCCCTTCTATAAAATGAGGATAACAATATTTGAACTACCTACCTCACAGAGTTGTCCTAAGACTCAAATGATAGCAGTTCATAGGTATATAGGGTGTCCTAAAAGTCTTAGTGCGGTTTCAAGTTTTTAAAGCTTAAAATTCCACTAAGCTATTAACTGCACTAAGACTTTTGGGACATCATGTATGCCATTTTAAGGTTCACATGGTGCTTTACATATATTACTTCTTTTGATTCTCATACCAACCCTCTTAGGTAGATGCTATTATCACCATTTTATCGATAAGAAAACAGAGGCTCAGAGAGATTAAGTGACTTTACCAGGGTCACACAGATAATAAGTATCTGAGTTAGGATTCAAACTTAGTTCATCCTGACTCCAAATCCAGGACTCTGCTAATGTTTGTAAAGTGCTCTGTAAATCACAAAATGTCATATAAACATGAGCTATTAATATTAATGGTAGACAGAGCATTGGGCAAAAAATCAGAATGCTGGGATTCAGGCTCTGACTCCATCACTTACTAACTCTTTCAAGCCATAGACTCCTCATCTGGAAAATGGGAATAAATAATACTTGTGCCACCTACTTCCCAGAATTGTTGAGATAGAGGAGTGGGAAAGGGAAACAATTGTTTATT